TTCACCTCAGTCTGGCACCAAAACTTCGCTTGAGCTACATAATAACATTTTAAACACTGTGGTCTCGGCAATGCCCCTTGGAACATCTTGATTGCCAGTTTACTGTTTTTAGATAACTCCAATTGGTCTATTCCTTTGATTACTCTTCCTAACAAAATGGAAATATTGCCTACAGCAAGATGATACCAAAAAGCAGGGCCGTCTTGAGCCGGCTTGTGCCCAGTGGTTATTGACAAAACAAGACCCCGTTCAGAAAATTGCTGCGGCCATGCCCTTCGTCTTCGGTTTCATTGAACGTCCTTTTTGGTTACAATAATTAAAAAGATTTTTAAGGATTTTTGCAAGAGTGTGCAGGAACACTTAGAGTGAATCTGAGGCACGTGGACATTTATCTGCACTTTGCTTTTTAATCCGTATGCTTTCCGTATGCTGAAATATAGTAGCTTTTGTTGCATTTTGAAGATATCTTATTACATTATTATAAGTGCCACTAGTCACCATGGCAACAAACTTCCAACTAACTACACGCTATATTTTCAACAAACAACAAAAAAAAAACAAAAACAAAAAAACAAAACTTATTGTAATACAGGTATTTTGATGTAATTTGTATAACAGCAGAGCTAAACAATTTAGAAAAAATGGGCTGGCAAATTTGCTCTCTGTTTTCATCAATCATGGTCGGCAAATGCATCAAATGTTTGTTGTTATTGCCAATTTATGAATGCATTGTGTGCCCCCTTTTGTTCTGGTGCAAATTGATTGGTTCGAGCAATCTGTATTTTGCTACTTTAGGCAAGCCTTTTTGTTGAGAGCGAACTTCTTGGTTCAATGTAAAACGTGCTATATTGTTAATACTTAACTTGCCCAATATATATATATATATATATATATATATATAGAATTGGTTTGCTGTAATTATGCAAATCTCTTTTACATTTTACAATGAATTTACTAACATTAGGCACACTCTGCTTGGTAAATGTAGAATAGTTTACTGTGGCTTTGCAACAAATCTGCAGAATCTAAAACATATAAGCTGAATCTGCAGAACCAATGTTTGCAATATAAATCGGTAAATACCTAGATAGCATACTGTGGTGATGTTTCTAGCTAAATGCAAACATGTCAAATGTTCTGTCATGCAAACTGCAATGGTAAATATAGTGGCAGTTTGCTGTGTTTATGCAAACTCAAATGGCAAATGCAAAATCTTCCTTGCCATGGTTTACAAATTCACATGAAATATGGAGATAGTGTGCTGCGTTTATGGAAATTCACATAGTATATACAAATTGTTTTCTTGCTATGGTTTATATATTCAAATAAAATATGGAGATAGTTTCCCAGGGCTATACATACGCATACATACATAAAAAAGTGGCTGCTGTTGTCGCCATAACACATCTAGTTATGCCTTTACTCTTGGTGGCAAACATGCAAGGTGAACAAAAAACAAACAAACCAAATGTTTACTGTTGTTGGCAAGCATGCAAAACAAAACATAAAGTTTGCTGTTGTTTGGCAAACATGCAAATATATATATAAAAGAATAGAAAAACCATTAAGCGTTTTCAGTTGTGGGGAAGCATGTAAATAAAAGAAAACATTTGCTGTTGTTGGCAGAATGAAAATTTATAGGTACAAACAGACAAACAAATATTAAGTGTTTGCCACAAAACGTTTCCTGTCATTGGCAAGCATGAAAAATAAAACAGAACGTTTGCTGTCGTTGGCAAACAGGCAAAGAAAAGTGTTGTGCTGTTGTTGGCAAACTTGCGGAAGAAAAGGGTTTGCTGTTGTTGGCAAACATGCAAATATATATACATAAATAGAAAAAAAAAATAATAATAAAAATAAAAAACCAATAAGCGTTTTCAGCTGTTGGGAAGCATGTAAGTGAAACAAAACATTTTCCGTTGTTGGCAGAATGTATTTATAAGTACAAACAAACAAACAAAAATATTAGGCGTTTGCAGTTGTTGGCATAATTCCAAATAAAAAACAAAACATTTGCTGTCGTTGGCAAGCATGAAAAATAAAAAGCGTTTGCTGTTGTTGGCAAACATGAAAAATAAAAAGCGTTTACTGTTGTTGGCAAACATGCAGTAGAAAAGCGTTTGCTGTTGTTGGCAAACACGCACACTCAAAAAAAAAGCGTTTGCTATTGTTGACAAACATGCAGAAGAAAAGGGTTTGCTGTTGTTGGCAAACATGCAAAGAAAAGTGTTTGCTGTTGTTGGCAAACAAATGGCAGAAAAGCGTTTGCTGTTGTTGGCAAACCTTAAAAAAAATTGTTGCTGTTGTTGGCAAACATACAACAAAAAGCGTTTGCTGTCGTGGGCAAACATACAAAAAAAGCGTTTGCTGTTGTTGGCAAACATACAACAAAAAGCGTTTGCTGTCGTGGGCAAACATAAAAAAAAAAGAAAAAAAAACGTTTGCTGTTGTTGGCAAACAAACAACGAAAAGCGTTTGCTGTCGTGGGCAAACATACAAAAAAAAGCGTTTGCTGTTGTTGGCAAATATACAACGAAGAGTGTTTGCTGTCGTGGGCAAACATAAAAAAAATGCGTTTGCTGTTGTTGGCAAACATAAGAAAAGAAAAAAAAAACTTCTTTTCTCTTGCTTTCTCTCCCCGCTTCTCTTCATCAATAACTTCCTCCCTTAGTAAGGTTAGGGCAAGAGTCTCCTCCAGTTACAGGCTTTCTAAGTCAGTGTTTGATGGGTGTAAACATTGTCATGTTTTTTGTGGCGGGTTAAAAAAACTGAGGCAGTTTTTACCCTGGAATCAAACACCGACCATAAAATTGCGTCATTGCTCAGGCAAGACAAGGGCTGATGCACCAAAAGCCCAAAATGTTTTTCCTGAGATTAGGGTGTTGTTTATCATAACTAAGGGGCCCCCGCGATGGAATTAAATGGGAATTAATCGTTTAATTCGAGTTAATACCCGCGGGGAAAGTGCGCAGATTCCCCTTTTCTAGAATCGGGTGGTCCCACACGTATATCCTTAGTAGGCTGTGGATATCATGTTACCTTAGCTATTTGCTAATCACCTTGTGGTATTTTCTAGGTGGTCTTTTCCTGGCATATTTCTTTAAGTACAGTGATGCAGCTAGGGTCATGTCATATTTTGCAGCAAGACTCACGCGTTGTTTGTACGCGTTTTCCCCTCCCATCCCTGTCCCCTTGTACTCACTTCTCCTCCTGCTTATATCCCGTCATATACTTCCTTCTGCCTTCTCCTGTCTCACTTCTTCTCACACAGTCATTCGATTGTGTGACAGGTGTATCAGTCTGATTATCGGGGTAAAAAACTGAGGCAGTTTTTTCCCTGGAATCAAACACCGACCATAAAATTGCGTCATTGCTCAGGCAAGACAAGGGCTGATGCACCAAAAGCCCAAAATGTTTTTCCTGAGATTAGGGTGTTGTTTATCATAACTAAGGGGCCCCCGCGATGGAATTAAGTGTCCTTTTTCCATCGATAATGATATCCACATCGAAACCAGTTAATAATCTAAACCCGTCATTCTAGTTATTTTGATCTGGAAATCAATATCATAGACCAACCTATCATTCGTCAGGATCAAAGATGATCGAAAGGGGTTTGGTAGTGAATCAATTGTCAATTAATTCGTTCTTTCCTCTTTTGCCTTCATCTGTAGCGCCCAATTTCCTCTTGGGAGTACTACATATTCTCCATACCATACGTACATCTTCTTCAAAATATTAACGAACGCAATGCCTGCCAAAAGTACTTGGAACACCCGTTAATTTGCGTTGCATTTTATATCTTTCTTTCCTTTTCGGAAAAAAAACTGCTACTTCTGACCCCTAGAACAATGTTGATAGTACAAATAACATAAAAGTGTTGCAAAAGAAGGTATTTCCCTAACCCGTAAAGCAACATTTTTTAGTGAAATGCTGTTTGTATCATATGTCATATAGAAATATGTTGTTGGTATCACCAATTTATTCAAAACGTTTAGAGGCCAGGATATATTTTAGCGTTGCAGCGAGAATTTTCGAATTTGATTCGAGTGGTAATTCTTCATGGCTATAGAGGATGATTTTTAGCAGATCTTCATTTGAAAGATTTATCAGACCGTGAGGCAATATCGCATTTACACTGTTGAGGAGGTCACATCTACATTGTTCCTTGTGTGAGAACAACCTTGTTCCTTGTGGGAAAAGAGGGGTGGCTGAATTTGACCTTACACACAGACGTCAGTGTTTGAAGACTTTTGGTAGGAATTGCAATAGTTTCCAAACCTCATAAGAACTTTTTATTAGTATATCGATGAAATTCAGGGCCTATTGACTACTAGTTTGGTGACAACATTTCTATAACTTATAGGATGAAAGTTTAATAAATTGTGACACTTTACATTGTTATTAAAGCTAATAGAAAACCTATTGGCCACTGCTATTGTCAATTAAATGACACTGGATCGAAATTGAATTTTTCAAACAAGGTGAATATACTTCAAAATTTTGGATCACTTGCAACGATTGAAGTGGGTGACGTAATTTAAAGGACTGGGCTGGCTGCAAAGTAATGCCAGAAGCCTGAAACCAATCATGTTTATTTCAGTTGTCAAAAGAAACTCGAAAGAGAGGTTTCAAAATTGGTGTGCCTTTGCAAAATAAATTGAGCGAGCGGAATGTTTTTGTCGAATCTACAAGATCGATAAACTGGCATCCACACAAAAAAGAAAGATGCATTTAAACGTTGCATAAAGATATCAGGTGATGGGAAAAGCACTATAATGATTATCGAAGCAAGAATTCTCAAGAAAACCACCAAGTTTCCAGAAAGTTTTCTGGTAAGAAACGTAATCGGAATTCTAGAAAGTAGCCTCCTATTGGAGCTTTAAGTATGGACAACCTATGGTTCTTCCGCATTCTCGCCCCACTGCGGGTCTCGTGATGCATATGGCCTAGACAATTTTTTGGTGAAGTTCAGATTTCCCCATAAAAAGTTGCTAGTTCAGGAGTGTTTTGCCAGAAAATTTGTACATTTTCAAAATGTGCTTCAAGTTCTGTTGTGGAACGATCTGTAACGCGTTTTCTAGAAAGAAAGAAGTTGAAACATCACGAAGGGCACTGAAGACTGATTTGCGAAGGTGCCTAACAACATTTGACTTAACATTGATTGGCATCGGAAGTACACTTGGTTCTGGTGTGTATGTTTTGACAGGTGACATTGCAAGGAACACTGCTGGTCCAGGAATTACAGTTTCATTTTTAATTGCGGCAGTAGCATCAATATTAGCTGGAGTTTGTTATGCAGAATTTGGAGCTAGAGTTCCAAAGGCAGGGTCTGCATATGTTTATACTTATGTCACGGCTGGAGAACTATGCGCCTTTGTTGTGGGGTGGAATCTACTGCTTGAATATGGCATAGGTTCAGCAACTGTTTCCAAAGGACTCAGTTCATACCTAGATGCTACGTTCGATCACAAGATAAGCAAGTATATAAAAGAAAAAACTGGGACGTTCTCACTGCTAGGCGACGAAACTTTTCTTGATTTTTTTGCCTGTGGCTTCAGTGTCATCGTCACCATTTTTATTTCACTAGGTGTAAAAAATACTTCTAGGCTGAACAACGTATGTACAATTTCGAATATTATAGTGATTGTCATGGTGATAGCAATGGGGGCATTTTATGTTGATACTGACAACTGGAAGAACTTTGCACCCTTTGGTGTGAACGGAATTGTGAGTGGGGCATCGTCTTGTTTCTTTGCTTTCATCGGCTTTGACGTCATTGCAACATCGGGTGAAGAAGCAAGCAAGCCAAGCAGATCTATTCCGGTGGCGATAGTTGGAACAATAAGTAAGTATAAGCCGATTAATATTTTCTTAATTCATTCATTTGAAGTTATTATAAACTATTATTTTGCTATTTCTAAAACTACACACTTGTTGTTAATCTGTTTGTTCTGTCATGATGCAGATTTCGAAATGGATTTTAACTTCAGATGTTGAAAAAAATCACAAACTGCAAATTTTCAAATGTTTTTTTGGTATCAGTGACAGTATGTGTAGCCCCGATGCCACTTTTCTGCATAAAATGCGAATTTCAAGTGCTGGCAATATTTACCAACTGTGTGCCAATGAAACGTTAGTAATAGTGTTAGTTATGTTCGAGTAAAGATACAAATACCCCCTGCCAAATGCAGTCACACTGCTTATTTTCACTCCTCTTAAAGTCACACTTCCAGTTGCAATCACACAAATTTTAGTCCAAAATACGAAAAACTATTCAATTTAGCACCATTACAGTCCCATTCCAATGGTAGTCATATATTACGAAGCCACATTTTGTGTGACTATAACCAAAGTCTACTTTACTAGCATAGGAAAAAGATGGATAGAGATATTCAAGCCTCAAAGTGATTTACAAGCTGATGACACAATTACTGGATTTAATAAAGGTGCTCCCAGCCCAAATGACAAGGCCCCTAAATATATTTTGTTGAGCTAACACAAATATCCAACTAAAACAATGACATCACTAAAGATTTTCATGAAGCTTTGGGGGCATTATTTTTGGAAAACTAAGTGGTGGGAGGGATCAAATTCTGGCATTACTAGGAAAAATGACCTCAATATTGGATATTTAAAGGAATGGCAAAATCAGAAGGTTGCTCGAAGAAAAAGCTCAGAAAATTTTCTAAGCTTGCCCCATCATTCAGTAAGCTTAATTTCCACCATTGCAGACCAATTTGTGTTTATGAAAAATGTAAATAAAAGATTGCAAGTTGGTAGCTGTACATGGATTGAGAAGTCCCTTTTGGTGACTCTTGTTTGTATAGAATAGGGCTCCTAGGGTCATTTCACTCAAAACATATTTTTCTGTAACTTGAATTACTGAATTACATTATTTGATTTTGCAAATCTTGCAACCTGTTTTCTAGATACCAGTTGTTTTTGACTTAGTCAGTGAATAAATTCTTTTTCTTGATATTTTAAAGTATTTTGGACACAATGTAAAATTCCTGCATTTCATGAACCCTGAACAGTACTTGATAAAGTGGCCTACTGCAATTAAATTGAAATGAGCTGGTTTTGGTTAATTAAATTCAAGATCTCCAAATGTTTATCATGCTACAAAAGGTGATTCTTTTTATAAATTGAAAATATCAAATAGCAATATAGTACTTCTTGATATGAAGGAAGATAAAAAGACTAATGACTTGAAGATTTGAAGATTTCTTTTTGGCACAAAAGCTAAAATACCAGGCACTCTTTAGGTAAAATTGTGTCTTGTGTTCATTTCCCCTAAAAAGGCATGCTAAGATGGAAAGAGGGATGTAAATTGGCAACCAGTGCTGCTTGTTACCTAGCTTTAGAAGTAACTGAAATTTTCCAGGGAACTGGAAGCATCAAAATTCGAAAATTTTCTCCTCCTTCGGCGGCAACCATGGTGCCCGTCCAGGTATACAGATTTGGCAAAACCATTAGGAATGTCCGCTATTATCATTTTAAAATGAATGTCGCCAATTATATGGCACACAGTTAGATTGGCAAAATGTATTGCAGAGGTTTGTGACAGCAACTTAAGAATTTCAGGTAATTATTTTTTAATCAGGTAAATTTGTAGTTCACCCCCCCCCCCAAGCGACGGCCCTGATGTCATTTATAGTGCCTCGTCCATTACTTGCAAATTTTCATCTCTTTAAGTAAAGAAACACATGTTTCAACTTCAGTATCAAATTTTATACCAAACTGAGATATTCTGAATATATCAAAATACACTTTTATAAGTTTCACCTAAAACGTGGAGAAAAAAATTTACCAAAAATGAGCCTGTTGAGATAGGGAGACAGCAGCAAATTGTCTAAACAGAATGCTGTTCGGGGCAATTGCTCCTCTGTTGTTTAGATGGAGACTGAATTCTTTTGAGATTGAAAATGCCGGTAGATTCTAATGGCTCTTGGGTTGTCATGTCTTCTAGCAATTTGTTTTCTGGCATACTTTGGAGTATCTGCAGTGGTTACTATGATGGTGTACTATTCTGACCTCATTGGCGACTCAGCACTTTCCAGGGCATTTGATCAGAAAGGGAATCACATGGCAAAGTACTTGGTTAGCGTTGGTGCTCTGATTGGACTAACAGGGACCACAGTTGTTTCACTGATGCCTATGCCAAGACTGCTTTACTCAATGGCGAATGATGGCCTGATATTTAGATGGCTGGCACGCATCAACGAGAGAACAGAGACTCCGGTTATAGCTACCATTATCACTGGATTTCTGACAGGTATGTCAATTTTTTTGTGTTCTCAAACCCCATTTAGACATAAGAAAGTGGATCAGGTCTTTACTATCTCCGTTCTTATTACTCTTTAGGTTTTATGTCTCGTAGGTCAGATGGCCAGCTATCTGATCAACTTTTGGTAGGCTTTTGAGCGGACCCCAGTTTAGATCTGACCCATTGTTGCATCGTGTAAAAACCGGTGGATCCAATCAAGCACTGGGTCTCTTCCAATTTGCGTTGTCACTTGTTAGTTCTAAAAGTTAATTTGGTCTGAATAAGCAGGCGCGATTCATAGCGCTGAAAGTGGGTCTGGTCTTCACCTACGTATCCATACCAAAACTAGATATTCTGAAGCTAACTATTTTTTGTGCTAACGTAGCCTAAGTTCTTGTATTAAACTGGAAAATTTCAGCTTGAAATGGAGAACCAAGTAAGAAATATCGAAGATACATAAGTAGGAAAGAATCCTATCACTTCTTTCGTAGTGAATTACTATCCGCATTTTTTATTACCATATTCTATAAAACCTTCATTTTATTATATTATTAGATATGTTTTCCAATAGCAAGCCATAACTGATTAAACAGAAAAAGTCATAGTTAGTATTGTAAACTAACAATGCATCAATATTTATATTACCAATTAGACCGCTTCGATTTTCCTTTGGAAAAGAAGGGCTTAGAGGAGCAACTGTTAGGCCCTCGATCCAAACGAAAAATCACTTTCCCTGTAAAATACTGAACTATCTCTTTGTATGTTTGATTTTTGTAGCTGTCATGGCTCTTCTTATCAAGCTGCATGACCTGGTAGAAATGGTATCAATTGGGACCCTCATTGCATATACGTTTGTGGTCGTATCCATCCTGCTGTTGAGGTACCATCCTACGGATGTTGGGCTTTCTAAAGGTGTTCTTTCTAGAGCACTGACTCCAGAGACAGTAAGAACCCCCAGCCCCAAAAGCCCCCTCCTTCGAAGCGCATCAGACAGATCTGAAGGTTACCACACAGCAGGTATGTCGTCATTTGTTCAATGAATTTACCGCAGACGGATATACAACCATTTCTATGAATACCGTTTTCCAGTCCAAACGTGAATTTTATAGCTTAGAGATTTTAGGATTTTAAATGTAAAAATCGATTTAGCCTGCAGTTTTGAAGAAATCATACCCTGTATTGATCAGAACAATTGAAAGTGGGAAGTTTTCAAGAAACTACGAGTAGCCCATTCATTTGAAACATTAAAAATCTTTCATTGCCAGAACCTTCTTAACAGATTTCAAAGCTTCTTAATGAGTGTATGCTAAGCTCCCCCTGTACTTTGTAGACCACCTTAAATCTTATCATTAATTCCCATGATAAAGCTGATGAGAAGCCTTAAAACATTGATCAAAGAAGAGGCAGCAAAAGTATTTGATAAAAGAAAATTGTTAATCAAAGAAACGTGTTGATCAAAGAAGAGTGTTTTATCCTACGAATCGGGAGTACGCACTTGCCCTCAGATCACCCTTTTCAGTTGTAAAACACATTGTAAGACATTTTAAGACATTGTAAGACACATGTAAAACATTTAGCCCTCTGAAAATTGTAAAAAATTTCCTTCGATCAGGAACAAAAGATGAAATGGTAAATTCCTTTATGCTTCTTTACTGTGAAAAGGATATTAAGATGAGCAAAGCAGAAAAAGAACGGAATCGTTGTTAACTGACTTGAAAGAATATTACTTTTTATAATTTAATATATCAAGGATCTAATACTGGTTTGACTTTTATGTTGCTTTGCTTCTTACGAAAGGATTAAATGTTCGTTTTACGTTAATCAAAATTTAGAGATTTCCCTCACCTTCTTTAGTGCTTTTATGCTTAAGACTAATTTTTGCGAGTAAAATGTTGGTTATAATACAGAAACTAGAAATCTGGAATAAGGCTATTTTCAAAAAAAAATTTAGTAGGTTCAGTAGATTAACAGGTCGAAAGAAAAATTTTCTCAAGTAGCGTTGGAATTTTAAACCTTCCGCGACCCCCCAAAACTATCCACTTGTTTACGTCCCTGGCTTTAGGGAGAGGCCGAGAAAATTTACTTTTCTCTACCCCAGTTTTTTCGAGCTGGCGACGCAACTTCACAAAGATTCACACGCTTTGAGCGTCGAATGTTATTTTTCAGGGTGCAAGACACCGCCTTATTATGAGACTGAGTCTGTTGTATTCGTGAGGTTGCCAACCGACAGAACATACCAGATTGTTGTTTACTGCGTGGGCGCTGGTGTCCTAGAAATCACCGCAATCAGCATTATCTTGACTTTTTGGCTCGATAAACTCAGCAACAAGGACCCTATTTTCATCTCTTTGGTGTGCATAATGGCAGGTGCGCTGGTAGTGACAATTCTCATAGTTTGGAAACAGCCCCAGAATCAACAGGAGCTCTATTTTAAAGTGCCTTTCCTGCCACTGCTGCCCTTTCTGTCAATCTTCTTCAATGTCTATCTGATGGTGTCACTCAACAAACTGACATGGCTACGATTTGCTGTCTGGATGACTATTGGTATGACTAATTCATTCTTGAATCTCCATCAATCATTGTTTATTTCTAGACCTACTTATATCATTACAGCGTACCATGTACGGTACTTATCTTTGTATCATATACGTGCTGCAAATCTTTGTATTTGCACCATATGCCATTTTATCCAAGAGAGATAATACTTTTAACCTGTAAAGGCCTTCAAAGTTGATGGCATTCCCAAACTTTCGCAATTGCGTTTATATGTGAAGACATAGTGCAGGATTTAAAAGAAGGTAACAAGCTGGAGGTAAAATGTTCTCATTTTAACTGTCAAGTAGCTTTTGCTTACACACTTGTTCAGTGTTTTTAAAGACATTTTTTTAAAACACCGATATGACTACTTTTCTAGTGTGTCACCCTGGCTATGTTCGGCTATGTTCTCCAAGGATTTTGCTCCGTGCTCTGGTTTGTCAATCAATAATTCCATAGCCGCAATGAATTTTTCCGTATGCACATTTAACCCTTTTGTTGTTTTCTTTCAGAGCTCTATCCCTTTCGTCTGCTTGATTTACATATCCACCAGTGTTTGTTTGATAACATTATCTGGAAATCGCTAGTTTTTAAGCATTGTTTTTACAGGCTTTGCAATCTACTTTGGATATGGGGTTTTTCACAGCTCTGAGAAGGATCGCAGTTTTTACGAAACCATCGAGAATCTTGAAAAGGAAGAAGACTAACGCTGTAATGACAGGTTGGGTAATATCTAGTCAATACAGTATATTAACACGTAGCAGCGATTTGTATATTGGGAGATTTAGCTATATTTGGAAAATTAGCCTTTTGATTAAGTTTTGAGTCTGATTGTTTTTAATCTCCTTTGATTTTCAATACCTGCCAACGGATCAGTCATAATTAATGGTGGGAGTTTGGGCGAAAGAAATATTTAGAAGAGTGCAGTTATTTTCTTGACCCCCCCCCTCAAATTCCAAACAGCTACAATATTGCCCTCCCCCCAATTCAAGAGTAACTCCCCCCCCCCCTACAACATGAAAATACGACACAAATCTTTTGCATAAATAATATGAAAAATTTACCGTGAATACGTTGAGAAACAAATTAATATTACAAAAGATTTGTTGATGATGGCAAATTCACAGTTCAGATAAAGATTTTTCTCCAGCAATCTTAGTGCATCTATGTTGTCAGCTTAAAGCAAAATAAGTGAGTAGATTTTGTAAGTGTCCTTTTGTTTCTCTTCAGTGCTAAGACACAAGAACTCTTTAGAATCAATTTGAGGATCCTTATCTTTGAAAAAATATGTTTGTTTCCAAAATTGAACTGTGCATAGTACAAAAGTTTTTGAATTGTTAGCTTACTAAAGTGAGAAAAATTATTGTGATTTCACAAGATGATTTGACATTAGTTCACAAGAGTTCCTATTAAGAAAAAATTAAAGAACAGTTCAGTATTTAAAGTAACGAAGAAAAATTTATCTACCAATTTATAAGGCAAGCCTCTAGCTTGCTCAGTAGAACATTTAATTATGCCAGAGCAAAACGCCGTGCAAAGGGGAACAACGAAAAACTAAGAAAAGAAAAGGTGAACCTGACCTGAGAATCTGTCATTGATTTGTGCCATGCTACCAGGAGAGGAAAGTGAAGTTAAGAGGGAAGAAAATTGAGCAAGAAGTTGTTTTTTTCCATATTGCGATGGCACAGTCTGGCCCATCCCATTAAGCGACAACTTGCACATAGCTGGACTCAAGTTTTGCAAGCAACGGGTGTGCCAACAGATCAAGCAAAATTGTTTGCAGAGAATTAGTTGCAAAAGATTGCGTATGTGGCAGAGGCCGAAAAGGATAGCTCTGCAAGTAAAATAATTGTAAATTCATGCAGCTTTATGGGCATAAATGGTCCACTCACAGACTCAAGCTCTGAATCGAATAACAATGTCTTCACTCTGGACAGACCGACTCATGTAGAGAAGTCAACAATTTGTCCTGAAAAGCAGCTACTCATCTATTCATCAAATATATTCAAAAATAGTCTATTTTTGTTCTGAATGAGATAACAGTTTTCAATTTTGACGGACATTTTTCATGCCCCCCTCTTGTTACTGATTTTTTAACCGGCCCCCTTGAAGGTGGATAAATTGAAGAGGACCCCTTCATTATATTCCGTCCAACCCCCCGCCCCCGCTGTTAAAATGTTTTTAAGACGAAATATTTTCCCAAAATTTGTCGGGACGAAGAAAATGTTTTTATTGTAACATGGTATGCATTTTGTACATTTTCATTCTGAAATTGTAAATATTGACATGTCCTAATTACGTTGAATGCTCGTCGAAGGTTGTAGAAATAATTCTTTTTTAATTAAAAACTGGATTAAAAATCACACTGCAAACTAACCCGAATCCCACGTGATTATGATTCTTGGGTCTGCTGTTCAAAATATGCGCTTCTAAAACTTTTTATCTGATTAAGCTGAGAAGCAAACTATTCAGTAAAAGCTGATCAATAAAAGCTAGCTGTTTTTTTAAAGTTACAGGTTGTTTATAGTTATAATTTGTTAAAACTATAGTTTACTGACGGTTGGTTGAAAAAAAAAAAAAATGTAATTTTTGACATTTTGATAGAAGCGTTTACTGTGATTTTACAATATTACAAAATAGAAATTTTGTCTTATTCTTGTAGATGAAACTTTTGTTGTCCCTTTTTGTAAATTATATGAAGAAAGATTATTAGGTGATGTTATCATAAGTCATGAAGGCTTTAACTTTTCAGGTGGGTCAAATTAACTGCATGAAAAAAGGTCTTGAGTTTGCAGTATTCTGTTCATCGCATAAGTGAATCTTGGTACTTGGTAGATCATACAGCCTCGTTTATCCAGATACCTCAGAAAATGAATGCTATTCGGTTCCGTAAACCCTTTTGTATAGGCTGGCACTCTGATGTCGAAAATAAGTTAAATTCTGCTACTAATTTTTAGATATTTTTAAAATCATTTCCCTCAAAGCTTCATAAAATAAACCCCTTAATTTCTTCAGTAAACAAATTAGACACTAAGTTCTAGTTTCAAAAACGCTTCCACTTCAGAAAAGGTAACCCCCCACCCATATTCAAATCCCCTCTTTGTGTAAAAGTGTACTTGGCCATGACCTCCCATTTTAATTATCTAGCTAATTGCAAAATCTTTTATTTATGACTTCTCTTCACTGCTTCTGCTAGGATACAGTGCAATAAACTCCTTTTTGAACATACATCTGTTGCAGTTTCTCTCAGCCTATAGCCTAACCTTTTTTCTGAAGGTGTAATGCTGTTTTCAAACAAAATTCTGGTGCTCAAAATTTGGCAATCTTTCTAAGGCTATAGCCTTACATTTTTACCAAAAAAGAAAGTCCCACAAAACTTGAGTTATCGATCAATTATAAGAAAATTACATGTTTTTGCCCACTTCCAGACCTTTTCTATCATGTACAGTGGTGTAATGCTGTTTTTAAACATAATTCTGGTGCTCGAAATTTGGCAATCTTTCTAAGGCTATAGCCTTACTTTTTTTCCAAAAAAGAAAGTCCTACAAAACTTGATTTATCGATCAATTATAAGAAAATTACATGTTTTTGCCCACTTTAAGACCTTTTCTATTATGTACAGTGGTGTAATGCCATTTTTAAACATAATTTTTGATGCTCAAAATTTGGCAATTTTTCTAAGGCTATAGCCTTACATTTTTACCAAAAGAGAAAGTCCCACAAAACTTGAGTTATCGATCAATTATAAGAAATTACATGTTTTTGGCCCACTTCCAGACCTTTTCTATCATGTACAGTGGTGTAATGCTGTTTTTAAACATAATTCTGGTGCTCGAAATTTGGCAATCTTTCTAAGGCTATAGCCTTACTTTTTTTCCAAAAAAGAAAGTCCTACAAAACTTAATTTATCGATCAATTATAAGAAAATTACATGTTTTTGCCCACTTTAAGACCTTTTCTATTATGTACAGTGGTGTAATGCCATTTTTAAACATAATTTTTGATGCTCAAAATTTGCAATTTTTCTAAGGTATAGCCTTACATTTTTTACCAAAGGAGAAAGTCCCACAAAACTTGAGTTATCGATCAATTATAAGAAAATTACATGTTTTTGGCCCACTTCCAGACCTTTTCTATCATGTACAGTGTGTAATGCTGTTTTTAAACATAATTCTGGTGCTCAAAATTTGGCAATCTTTCTAAGGCTATAGCCTTAAATTTTTGCCAAAAAAGAAAGTCCTACAAACTTGAGTTATCGATCAATTATAAGAAAATTACATGTTTTTTCCCACTTTCAGACCTTTTTTATCATGTACAGTGGTGTGATGCTGTTTTTGAACATAATTCTGGTTCTCGAAATTTGGCAATTTTTTCTAAGGCTATAGCCTTAACATTTTTACCAAAAAGAAAGTCCCACAAAAATTGAGTTATCGATCAATTTAAGAAAATTACATGTTTTTGGCCCACTTCCAGACCTTTTTTATCATGTACAGTGGTGTTATGCTGTTTTTAAACATAATTCTGGTGCTCGAAATTTGGCAATCTTTCTAAGGCTATAGCCTTACATTTTTTCAAAAAAGAAGTCCTAAAAAACTTGAGTTATCAATCAATTATAAAAAATTACATGTTTTGGCCCACTTCCAGGCCTTTTTTATCATGTACAGTGGTGTTATGCTGTTTTTAACATAATTCTGGTGCTCGAAATTTGGCAATCTTTCTAAGGCTATAGCCTTACATTTTTTCCAAAAAAGAAAGTCTACAAAACTTGAGTTATCGAATCAATTTAAAGAAAATTACATGTTTTTTGCCACTTCCGACCTTTTTTATCATGTACAG